GGAAACTCCTAAAATAGTGAAAGAACAGGTACTGAGTGTCTGATCCAGGGTTCTACAGAAGAGGAGAGACTGAAAAGATAATTCAGAAGTAAAACTGTCAGGATGGGGAAGGAACTAGAGGTGCAGAATTGAGGAAATTAAAGAATAAACTATCTGTTCTAGCTTGAGAGATTTCTTTTGTTATTACCATTAACAAAACAAAGAGGCACAGGTTGGAGCAAGAGTAAGGGGATTAGTCAGTCCCCCTCGTCTAGTGTATTAATCAGGTTTCTCCAAAAAAACAAGACCAACAGGAGATAGATAGATAAATTTCTTATAAAGATTTGGCTCACATAATTATCAGGCTGAGAGATCCCAAACTGCTAGCTGAAAACCCGGGAAAGCTGATGGTACAGTTCCAGCCTGAGTCTGAAGTCCTGAGAACCAGGAGAGCCAATATTGTAAGTTCCATTTCAAATCCAAGTCTAAAAGCAGAAAACCAATTTTCCAGCTCAAAAACCATCAGGCAAAGAAAGCAAATTCCCTCTTGCTCAGCCTTTTGTTCTATTCAGGCCCTCAGTGAATTAAATGGGGCTCACCGACATGGGGGAGAAATCTGCTTCACTCAGTTCACTATTTCAAATGTTAATCTCATCCAGACACACCTTCACAGACACAGCCAGGATAATGGTAAACCAAATATCTGGGCACCCTGTGGCCTATTCAAGTTAACACATAAAATTAACCATCTCATCTAGTTTATGCTCACTCTCTTGGGGTCACAGTCTGGAAAAGGCCTTAGTTGAAATCACCTGCATTAATCAAGGGAGTTGCTGAAATACAGATGTATAACCACCAAGCCCTCACAGAAACATATCACTAGCAAGGAACAAAAATGTTTTATTTTTTAATATGGTACAGAGATCCTCTCTGGAAAAGAATTATCCTTATCTATGTAATCCCTCACTTGTGCTTATAATTCCTAGAAAGGCATGAAAGTACATTACATTTCTAGAAGAATAATCTTACTGCTGGTGAATCAAACAAAAACAAAGAGTCCTGAAGAGAGTGCAGATCTCCTGTTCTTTAGATTCTTCATCAATTTACAAGGTGTTTTTGGACATTTAGGAATTCTTATCTCTCACTCGGCTTCCCCCCACTAACACACACACACACACATATACTTTTCTTTCCCTAGGGTTCCTGTGATATTTTTCTTTGACTCTGACCTCCCCTAGGGTCCAAGTGTGGAGCTGCTGGTCAGAAACTTAAGGTTTCACTGAAAGCATCAAACTGAAGCATTAAACTCAGCCCATGGAATCTAAATCTAAACCAAATGGATCATAACTGACTCAGCAACATTACTAGGTAGGATACTCTGGGAAAGTTTCCTTTAAAAATCCCTGTGCTTCAGTCTCCTTATCTATAAGAGATGAATAGAAATAGTACCCAGAACAGGATTGCTGTGAAGATTGACTAATTAATGCCTGTACACTGATTTAAAAAATATCTGGAACACAGTAGGTATTCAAGTTTTTCCACAATGAAACATTTATAAAACTAATTTTTTTACTTGTAGGTATTGCTTCTCATGGCATAAATTTCATATGTTTTATGCCAGCAAAGTCTCTCTCTATTTTAAATTATACAAATTATCTTCATGCTGTGGACTAAACTTTGTCCTCCTAAAATATGTTTAAGCCCCAACTTTCAATGTGATGATATTTGAAGGTATTAGGTTTAGATGAGGGTATAAGGATGGAGTCCTCATGGTGGGATTACAGACTTTATAAGAAGAGACACCAGAGTAGTTCTCTGTGCGTGTGTGTGTGTGTGCGTGTGTGTGTGTGTGCGTGCGCGTGCGCCTGAGGAAAGGTCATGTAACAAGAAAGCAGCCATCTGAAAGCCAGAAAGAGTCTTCACAAGGAACCAAATTGGTCGACAACTTCATCTTGGACTTCCCATCCTCCAGAACTGTGGGGATTCAATTTCTGTAGTTTAACCCACCCAGACTATGGTACTTTGTTATGGCAGCCTGAGCAGACCAATACATACCTCTGTTATTCTTGGAGGGTGAGAAAGAGAGTAAGGGCATAAAAAAAATCCATTTGATCACGTGAAACAAAGTATCTTTTTTTATTTCTTTGAGTATAAAATCCCTGGATAGTTACAAAGGGAATATATAATATCTATGCATAATTCAAAGAACAAGAATTAGAGAGTTTATGTCAGAAGCTACAGCCAGAGGGAAATCCCCAGTGCCTGCCTTTGTAAGTGCTGTATTAGTGTTTGCTATTATTATCTTTATAAAGTATGTCATACATGCAATATCGTGTTAGTACTACTTTAGGGTAGTGAAGAATCAGGGTGATAACCAGCAGGACAATGAAGTTAGGGAAAGAGTGATCATACATAGAAGCCCAGATACACAGAGAGAACTAAGAATTCAATAGATGTAGAAAATCAGAACCTGAGGCCGCTAGACAAAACTAGAAACCACAGGGGCTCCGCTTCTTTCCTATCTACTTTCCCCTTCTAAGAAATATCTGGAGACATTGAGAGAGAAACTGGGTTTTATCAACATTTATTGGATAAGATTTAGAGTTATTATTATTTATAATTTAAAGAGCAAGGGAAAACTAGAGAAACTGAAGACTCCTAAGCAGGTGACATCCAGTCACACCAGTTTAATGCTACTGCTGTACTCTCTAGAGCCTGGATATAAATCTTTTAAAAGGAGGGGATTTTGCAACGGAGAGAAAGATGAGAAACTTTAAAATTGAGGTTCAGCTGCAGAAAGAGATGAGAGAAAGAACACAAAGAGCCTTTCTTGGAACTATCTAGCAAAGGAATCAGAGGAGAGGCTATGAGAAGGAGAGACCTAATCCCATTGACTGTGGATCAGAGAACTTTGATCCCTTTGTCATGATAACTTGCCTGGAATAGCCAGCAATAAGAAGCTTGAAATAAGAGCTTGATTTGGGAACACTGAGGAACACAGGATATTATACATTATTAAGACTGGAGTAATTCCCATGAAAAAAGTAGGTTTTAGCAGATGAGAAAATAAGAAGAAATCTAAAGATAAGGGAATTTTAAAAAGTAACAAACAGATACATGTCATCAGTGTGTAAATTGGGCTGGGGATTTATTAGCCAGTGGCCATGGAATTCAACAGCCACCCAGGAATGGAGACATGGGGTAAAATACCTTTCGGATTAACTCAGTATGACATTTCCAGTGTTCTTATAGCTAAGCTCATAGAAATACATTTAACTGGTTAAAAAAAAAATGAACTCTGGAAATAATGCAAACATAAAGCAAGACAAAGTATCTGAACTATGATTAGAATGGTAAGAATAAGAGAAATAATACTTATTGCTATTGTTTTTATTATTTATTTATTTAAATACAATTTATTTAGCATCTGTTTCATACCAGACACTTTATAATTCTTTCACAATAATCCTACAAGATAACAATTACTATTCCCATATTAGAAATATAATGTTTTAATACATACGTAAGTTAATAAATAACTTAGCCTAGACCCCTAACTTGGAATTAATTCTAGGTTTTTAGACTCCAAAGATTCAGTCTTCCAATGCATCATCAGAATTATCTTGCATGAATAAAAAAGTAATCTTTCTACCTTTTGTCAAAATAGCTATTAGAACATTGTCATAGTTACCATGCTTAGATGAAAAAAAAAAAAAAAACAGAAACTGGAAAAGGTCCAGAGCAAATCTGAAGCATGAGCAGTGAGGGTGAAATGGTAAATTATAAAGTACATTGGAATAGAGTTTGCTTAACTCGGGGAACACTAACCCGACATCAGATGATTTTCATGAAGGATGATCACCTTTAGGTTTCTATATCCATGGAAAATTGAATGAGAGAAAGGTAAATTCAGAGAAGAGACACTGTAAGGGAGAGGAGATCTTTTAAAAACTTCTAGCTGGCAAGTGGCTAATGGCTGTCACATCAGGAGGTTAAATTTAGTAAGACTTGATCTTAATAGGAAATACCAGAGGATGACAAGGTAGCATGTAAAAATAGACACAAATTATTTTCCTTCCTTTATCTTTGTCCTTACAATTTGACAGTACACATCCTTCCATGAAGATACAAAGTCTATTTCCTTACCCTTTGAATCTGGGTTATCTATTCGATTTACTTAGGCCTATGGGATATTAGGACACACGACTCAGCAGAGGTTTGAAAAGCATTTGTGAGCTGGAGGAGAACCAAGTTGGCCAATTGTCAGATATATGACTGAGGTTATCCTAACTCATCTAATTCTGGAACACTCCACCAGTTGACCACAGATGCATGAGAGAACCTGGCAGAGAAGAGCTGAGTAGGAGTAGACTAGAATAACCACCAATATTACCCACAGAATTGTAAGTAAATCCATGGTGTTTGTTGGAAGCCACTGTGTTTTAGGATGGTTTGTTATACAGCTGAAGCTACTAAAATCAAGTGACAAAAAACCAAAATGACAAGCTAAATAAATGCTATGTGTATTTCAAAGAGTGGCTAATTTGTTGTGTGGCCTGAAAGGTTTTGTCCTCTACCTTCTGAAGATAGAAAACTGTGGAATAAATGCTTACACAATTGTAATATAATACATTTGTAAATGTATAAGCATTTATTCCAGTTCCGTTTGCTTGGGAACTAAAATGTCCTTACAGATTATAGTCCAATCAGGTCAATGTACATACAAGGAAGATAAAACCAAGAGGGGAGATGTGACAAGGTCACAATGTGTTCCTGACCAAATCAGGGCTGCTGGTCAGGTCCTCCAATCCCCAGTACGGGTCATTTTACTTACTAACCTTTTTGAAATCTTAAGCACTCTTGAGATTCTATGACTCTGTGACTCTATGGTTCTATAATTCCAAAACAAAGCACAACAATGCCAGTGCTCCAGACAGCCTGGGTACAGGAAAAGAACATGGTCTAGGCTGAAGTACCAACTACATCAGTCTCTTTCACTTCAAAATATCAACTACACCATCATGGATTCAAGCACAACACACAATCCCGTGTTTCTGGTATTTCCTCCAGAGATCCCAGTTCCTGAATTTCAGTCAACAAACGTTTCAGCCAGGGCCTATGAAACTCAAAGTCCCTGTCAAAAGTTACTTGCTACAAAAATGAAAATTTTGGGAGTAAGTATGACTTCCCCAATGTACATTCTATTGGGGGTGGGGGAAGGACAGGGAAAATATCTGGTGGCACATATTTTAAGGTAGGAGCTAATTCCAACTTTTACTTCTAATCAATACAGAAAGTATGAATCACATTTCTATATCATTTATGAGTGAGATTCTGTGGAGGAAAAAAATACTAGATAAATAAGCCAAGGTCCCTGGGCTCTTGAAGGTCACAGTCTCAGAACTGACCATCTTTAAGATTTTTCAAGTCAAGTACAGAGAAAAGAAAGGAAAATAAAATCAAGTCGAAATCAATAGGCCAGATTCTATAACCTGTGTTATTGCACCATACAGTTTTATATTTTCCCAGTCAAAAATCAGAACTCACAGTTTGACATGACATGGGGCTTTTGCAGAATATCCTTTTAATATCATAACTGCTCATCTCTCTATCCATCCATCTATCTATTCCATAAATATTAATTTTCTTTTACTTACCAATCCTTCTTTAAGAAAATGTGGGGGTCCAGATACAGGGTAAATGTTTTCAAAGATATGGGCTGTAATGTAATTTGGAGAACTAATTACCAAAAATCCTACTTAGACTTTATAAAGTAGGCAATTAGTTTTCAATATGTAAAAATTATTAAAACTATGTAAGGAGGCTTACAAAATATTTACCGAGTCCCTAGGCCTTATTCCAGAACTAATGAATCAAACTTCTGAAGGAGTAGGCAGCTAGGTAATCTGTATTTTTAAAACATTTCCCTGAGTGAATCTGACAAGCAGCAGATTTGGGACTATTTTTCAAACAATACTGAGAGGAATAATTGGATAGGAGTTGTGTTCTGGAATGTTACTTTAAAATAGAGAAAAATATTGGTACAGAAAGGCAAGTTAAAAAACAATTTTAGTAATTCAGATAAATGAATAGTGGCTGTTGAGGTTAACTTGGTCCCATAACTCCCATTGTGAGAGAAGAATTTGCCTCTTAATATTGAGGGCATTGAGAAGTACAGAAGAATGTGCTTACTGTGGAAGCTCATTTGAAAAGAGAAGAGGAGAGGAGAGAAGGGGAAGGGAGGGGATGACTGAGCTCTTATTAACCAATCTCTTCTTGGAAACTCATCAACTGCAGATGGAGAAAAACATAGATGGAAGAAAAGCTCTACATGCATATCTACATATGGCAGAGACTTAGGGTTTATGAAGTAAGTGTCCCAGACACCTGGCCACAACAGCAAAAATTGGGGAGTAGGGGTGTCAGACATTTATGATCTTGCAAGTAGAGATAACAAGAAAGCTTGGCTACTTTTTGACTGTTAGGATCAAGGGATATTAGAAGGACTGAAGATGATCCTAAAACTTCAAGCCTAACAAGAAGATGGAGCCAAACATAGAGATGGATAAGGCAAAAAGAAGATTAAGTTTAAAGGGTGAAAATTGAGCTTGTTTTTGGACATGTTGAATATAAGGTGTTCGTGGGACATCAAGTAGGGATGTTTGACAAGAGCTAAAAGGATGGGTTTGACTTGATGAAAATACTATCATTTAGGACTCACCTACTTAAAAGTGATAGTTTTTATGTTAGCAAATGAGATTACTCAAACCAAGAATGTAGACTGAGAAGACAAGAGGGCAGAGCACACAGACTCACATGTTGCGTACCTGCCACTCTCTATGACATTCTCATGAGTCTTCACTAGCATTTGTCGAGCCACTGCCTGGTAGTGTAGTTGCATCACAAGTGTGCTGCTTGGAGAAAAAAATAATCGGAAGAGATGGGGAGTGCTCTGGGCATGGGAGTGTGACAATACGTCAACAGGCCCAGAGGATTGGTCATCTCAAGGAAGGTTTTCTGATAGACCACTTCTGCATGAGTACAGGCTGGTACAGGGATTTAGAATTCAGTGCTTCTTAAACTTTCACATGTGTATGCTAAGGAGTTGCAGAGCTTCTTAAGACACAGATTCCTAGCCTCACTTGGAGATTCTATTCAGTAAGTACGGGCTAGAGTCTGATAGTCTACATAGGTAGCTCCTAGGTGATCCAGATGTTGCCAGTCCATAGACCACATTTTCAGGAGCACTGATTTAGGTCATTTGACCTATTACCAAATAGTATATACAGAGATTAAGAAAACACCTGGGAGCATCATAAAGAGACTTCTACTATCCTTATTCACAAAAGAGGGTAATTGCCAAATCCTGTTAACCAAGAGAAGGTCTTCTAAACAGAAGTAAACTCACCTCTTCGCTTTTTTCTCACATGACTTTTTCCTCTGTTTACAGACTACCCAGATCCTGTTGGGAATTATGAACTTTTCTTTTGGAGTTATCTTCCTTTTCACCTTGATAAGACCATACCCAAGGTTTCCCTTTATATTTATTTCAGGATATCCATTCTGGAGCTCTGTTTTGGTGAGTATAGTCAACCAAGTTCAATTTGAAGCCATGCCAACCAGGATGTTAGGGAATTTTTAGTTATGAAATAAGCCAGATCAAGTTGTATTATATGCTTTGAAAAGTGCAAAAAAAATTTAACCTTGTTGAAATTAGCTCTCCATTAATTAATCAGAGTTACTGATATTATATAATTGGGTAGAATATAATTGAAGTTCCTTTAGGAATATTCCTCTGGGTCTTGAAGTCGTTTGTTTATCCATTCATTTATTCAAAATTAGTTACTATCTATTATAAGCCAGGCACATAGAGCAAGGAAATGAGGACTCAAAGGCTGGTAATCCATGAGCCTGTCCTTCAAAGGGCCCTCAGTCTAGCAATAGAGAAAACATGTAAACAGGTCATTTCAAGGCAGTGTAGCAAATATCACAGAGGTGCAGGAAGTACTTATGTAAGCAGAGACGAAGGAGCACTTTATTCTTTAGAGAAGTGGAGAAGCGGGAGGGCTTCTTGGCTGTACCTTTTGAGCTGCACTGAGGCATTTATTTAATCACATTCAATAAACATTAATTTAGTACCTAATTTAGTGCCAGAAAATGGGTGGGGGTGCATGGATTCAGAAAATAGACAGTCCCTGGTCTCAAGGTCTCAGTTGAGTGAAGAGTCAGATAATTAGCGCAGGGTGTGATAAGAGACGATAGGGGACACAGAGTCTGCCCTGCTAGGAAAGGCACCCACAAAATGGAGGGACATTGCCCAGAAACATTTCCCACTTTCTAGAGTTCTAAAGGATAAGTGGCTAATCAGGGAAGAGTACACAGAGTAAGGGAGTAGGGGATGCCTGGGTGTAGGGTTAGGGATGTTTTATTGCATGACAAGGGACAAGAATGAGCAAAAGGCTGAAGGTGTGGGAGAGCACTTCCATTCTGTGACATGCAAGAGCTCAGCACAAGGGCTGGAGGATTGAGGGAAGCTGGAGAAATATCCACAAAGGAACTAGAAATTTAAACACAATGTGCTGTAATCAGATTTGGAATTTCCTCTAGATAATGATGCCACCACATTTGATTCCCCTCCATGCAGAATCTTGGGACTTTTTCTTAAATTACCAGCATATTAACCGCAACTTCACCTTATGTTCCCATCCAAGGGAACATATTGGATTGCAATAATATGGAATCGGATCTTACTGATTGTAAACTGATTTGGCCCCAGTGTGTCATGATATCAAAGCTTGAGTCCATGATAGTTATAAAAGGAAGATGGATGAGAAAACGATAGCCCAATAAGGTTTTTAAAAATCTCCTGTTTAAATAAATAGTAAAGGCTAAAGCAAATTTCCAGTCAAGTGTATTGTCCACTATTCATGTGTTGACAGTCATACAGGGCAACTCATCCTGCTCCCTGACCTGAGGATTGTGTGAACTTGGTTGGAGGGCATGTAAAAGACATGCATAGAGGTCTATTCTGTGAGAACTCCTTAACGTCAGCTAAATACATCCTTCATTAAGGTTCTTTTTTTTTTAACAGTTCATTAATTCTGGAGCCTTCCTAATTGCGATAAAAAGAAAAACCACAGAAACTCTGGTGAGTTCTATTTCTACGTTAATTAAAAATTTATAACTTTAAAATAATTCATTCTAACTTTTAAAATGAGTTTGGAGAATCATTAGCCCACTATAATTCCACCAGCTGTCAAGTACTGATACCAGTCGATGACACTTGCTTCCTGTCTCTATAGAATCATAAACTATTAGTGTCAGAAGAGTGTTTTCTAGGTCATCCCATTTAATTATTTTATATATGAAGACACTGATTCATAGAATAGTTAAACAACTTGTCCAAGTTCTGCAGCCATTTAATGATAGAATGGGTCTCAGCATTTGAGTTAGTCACTCATTCATCCTTTCTGTGGGTATTTTTGACACCTACTGCATACCAGACACTTTGGCAGTCTCATATAAAAGGCACACTGTAGACAACTTAATTAAACCATATGCAGAATCTTGAAATAATACAGTGCTAATAAATGTAAAACTGTGACTTGCAGACAAATTATAAGTAGAATATCTTTGCTCAAAGCATCAGAGACATGAGATTATGAACTAATAAGACAACAAATGATTTTCAGCAAAGAACATCTGTAAGTTTTAGGAAGAAATAAAAAGACAGAGAAATGCAATGTTTAAACACAAGAGTCTTAAAACAAAAATGTTGACCATAAATTTTACCAGAGCATCAAAATGTAATGCAACACAGCTACCCCTAAGTACCTCCTCAGTGCTGTGTGTACCATGCCCCCACCACCCCAATTGAATGGGAATTAACTTAGCTACACAATGTGGGGAATGGAAAGGTTATTAAAAGTTCACCGGATACCCTCATTCTGTAGATGAGGGCCTGAAACTCAAAGAAATCAAGTGGCCTGCATATGATCACATGGCTGCTTCTTGGCATTGTGATGCTATGGCTATAATCCTCTCTCTATTCTTCACACCTATTGCTTTGCTTATAGCACAGGCTGGCCCTGAGTCATTGTGTCATGTTTTTATTCTATTGCAGGTGGCAGTGAGCCGAGTAATGAATTCACTTAGCGCCCTGGGAGCAATAACTGGAATCACTCTCCTTGCATTTGGTTACACTCTAGATAAAGACTACATTTGTGGCTATTCCTCAGATGTCATTCAGTGCGATGCTATTACCATCCTATTCATTGTAAGTATGTTGCATTTTTAGAGTGAGGAGTAAATGATTTAATCAAAAAGACTTATGAGCACCCAAGCAGGGCCATCCCGATAATATTGTAGATATACACGTATTTTCTTTTATTCACAAACATTTACAAAATCCTTAATATTTGATAGACATTATTCCAGGCATTGTGAAATAGAAAAACAAACACATTGTAACTCCCACCTTTAGAAATTCATACATGAGTAGAAGAGATAAAATGTGCACCCAGATGAGTTTAATATAAATACAAAGATAAAGTGATACACTAAAAGAAAAGATGCAGGTATAGCAGTATGGTTGGTCACAGTTCATAGTCCTAGACATAACTTAGAATCCCAGGTAGAATTTGTTTATTGTTTTTGATTTGGTTTTAATATTTAGGCTGGACTTCTGATAAATATTAGATACAGGTACTTGTTTATGATAGGTAAAGATTGAAAACAGGCATTTATTTATGCTCTTTCTAAAATACCACTAAAATTTGTGTAAATAATGTAAAAGGTATGGATCCACATGGTGAGAAAAAGTCAACAAGATACATCAAACATTGCTGAGGAAACTGAAAACGAACTACCTAAGGAAAAGGGAGTTCTGATAGAAGCAAGATATTTCATATGGAAGATTCTAAAAAATATTGAGCATTTGAATGCACCAGGACCTCAGAAAGCAGAAGTGAAGAGCAGAGAACAGAGAGATTGGTTCTGCTAATGGTGAATTGGGCTATTTGGATCAGCCTTTTTCTGAAAACAAAGAAAAATGCTACATTAAAGAATGGAACAAAACAAAAACCATCTTAAAGGCATTAAAAAGCTGGAAAGTCAGCTGGAACTATAAGATCAATTTTAGAGGAAAGCCTGCAACCTTAAATTTATATCAATGAAATGTTAAAGAGCACCAAAGCTGCCTCGAGGCCTCTGTCAATGTTGCCCATTTGGAACCTGATTCCCAGCCCATGTAGAGTGAAAAAGAAAGAAGTCAAGGCTCAGAATCCACTCGCAGCAGGAAGACTTAGAAGAGAAATTTTCCACGTTGAATTAAGTCCATGGTAGGCTACTATACTCTTCAAGTGAGAAAACAAAGACACACAAAGTACCCTTCCCCATAACAGCAGAGAGAATGGCTGAACAAAGCAAAAAAAAGAAAAGTTACTCAAGAAATTGTGGCCACAGACCAAACCCCCTGACAACCTCCTCCTATCTCTCACCAAGTTTAACCTTTGGTCGGCATAAACTGGGTGAACCAAGAATGCTCAAGGCCTGAATTTGGTCTCAGCATCTGGTGCCCCCAGTAGCTGACAAAACCAAAACCAAATTCTATCTAGAAGAACAGCCAATAGACTCAAGGAACTCCTACCAAATTTTCCAGTGAAAATTACTGACAAGAACTCATAACAGGCAAAACAAGAAATAAGATAATGTGAATGACAACTAATAAAAACAAAATACAGCAGAAATAAAATCACACAGACTTCCAATACTGGAAGAGATTTTAAAACCATAATTTCTACCATGTTTTAAGAAATAAATGATAAACTTTAAAATATCTGCAGAAAATAGGAAATCATAAAAAGTAAGGTAGATTTTTTAAAAAATGAATATAGAGTATATATCTTAAATTAAAAATTCAATATATGTATTTGATATATATGATACTGTATTTTACATAGATAAGAATAAATCCTATTTCATGGAGAAAAGTAAAACAAAAAAGAAGTATAAAACATACAGTAAAAAGGTCTAACAGAAACTGTATTAGAATTATAGACAGAGCATAGACAATAAGAAAGAGTTAATGGTGGTGAGAGATTTTTAGAACCAAAGAAAAGCATTAGCCACATATCCAAGAGGCCCAGTGAATCTCATACACCTTGACACATTATAACAAAAATATAGAAAACAAAGACAAAGAAAACTTAAAGCAACCAGTGAAAAAAGGCAGATTATTTTCAAAAAATAAGCAATTAGAATTACAGTTACCTTGGAGGAAATAATTGTAAATAAAGATAAGGGAAGCCTCCAGAATGTTGGTTTATCCTTATGTGCAAAACAATCTAAGCTCAAACTATTTTGGCATTTTATAATTCAGACACATATGATCTTCACAGACTCATATAGTTCACAAATAAAATTGTTGTTCTAGTTTATGAAATCTGACCACTCCCTACCTGGATCACTTTTGATTAACTGCCTTGAGATCCTCTAAATTCCCTTTGTCACCTCTCCCCCAGGGTGACTGAGATGCAAAGTATTACTCAAATCCCATTTCTTCTGAGCAGTGAGAGGCCTGAAAAACAGTTACCCCCAGGAATAATTCTTTCAAGAAACAAAAGATCCTGGGAATAGCCACGAATCATGTTCTCTCTCTGTTTTTATTCTCCAGGCAAGAAAGTTACAGAAAAGGAACAAAGGTGGTTACAAAAAGTACAGTGAGATATTCATCATGGCAACAATCATTAAGCTTAGCTACACCAAGAACATCTGCCCATAGAGCCAGCAATTTTGCTGTGTTACAATTCTTTATCTAGAACAGACACTTTAGCCTGGGGAAAGTTTTCTGTCTTTCCCAAGTTTAACACTTCTATGTGCAATTCTAAAAAGTTAGGCCCTGTGAAATACATTTGCTTATAAATGTTAGTATATTCCACATATCCCCCTTTTTTTATTTTTTTAAGTAAAAAGAAAAAGCTATATATTAAGGTTGCACCATTAAGACAAAAACATTTTATTAAAGCAAAGTTAGTATCATTTTGGCATGGCAAGTCCTTTTAATTTATCCCAGGTGGAGACTGATGATGTTGCCCTCTCTCAGGACTATTGCATTAGCATCATTCCTGGTGGTGTGAATCAGGGTGTTATTGCCAGTTGGTGAAACTCCAGGATGGGGTTCTGTACCATGTAATAGTTGATTTTGAGTCCAAAGAGCTTGTTGGTGTTCACCCATCCAGGACATCGCTGCTTCCAAAGCATCTAATCTTTGTAAAATTTCTTGATCAATTACAATCTTTTGTTTAGGAACAGGATGTCTCATCCAAGTCATAAGCACCCCCTTTAAGGCCGTGAAACTTTAGAAAACTGCTTTTGTAGACAAGATATTATTTCCCCCTGTACGATCAAAACATTCCTCATAAAAGCATTGATGATCAATTTTCTCATTGAAAAGTTTTCATTTTTCTTTGCTTCAATCCCTCAGTACTGGGAAGGCTCATTCCCAGGTTGTCATGTACCACATTTGGGGGAAGGTTCAAACAGCAGTTCTGCCAAGTTAGGGCAACATGAAGAGGGGTCAGGAATTTAGAAGAGACATGCTATTTTATACCCAAAGTTTTAATTTATATCCTGTTATAAAGAGAGAGTCGATTTTTATTGAACTTATGAAAATAGCCACATTGCCATAATAATCATAAAGATACTTAAAGTTTTTAAATTGGGAGGAGGTCAAATAGGGAGAAAACAAATGCTTTTATCTCTGTTTTAAATTATATTTTACCAAACTGTTGTGAGTTATAGATAGTTTCCTTAAATCTGGAAAACAAGACATTAATGAGCGATGTTTCAAAATAAAAACTGTAAAAACCTATAATTCTTTTTAATCAGTTCTTTAGTTTTATGTAATTAACTTTTGCTGTTTTGACCTTGGTGAGTAATTTCACAAACCCATCGGTTTCTTCATCAGAATTTTGGAAATTCAGTTCAATGGTATGAACTAAAAGTTTGTTGAAAAACTGTACCTGTCAGAATTTTTTCATGAAATTTTTGAAGACATAACATTTTAAAATTATACTTGAACCAAGATTATGACCAGTAGCATTTATATCAAGACACAGATTTCCAAGAACCTTACAAAATTTTGGAACACATATTAATAACATCTTAGTATAACAAAAGAAGGTTGAACATTATTTTTTGTTTTGACAATGTTTTTCATATAATCTAACTTATCAAATAAGCCAATTGATTTTGATATATCTCTTATATATCCTTTGAGAAGCTCCAAGGCCCTTGGAACCTCCCAAAATTAGTTCAAATCTGAGTTTTTTAAATTTGGTTTTGGAAAGTTATTCAAATAACAAAGGCTTAAAACACTCACAAATCATTAGAAAATTAAAACCAAAGTGACAAAGGATTTTAAAGGCAGAGAGCACAAGAAATTATCATGATAAAACATGAAAAAAGTTTCCCAAGCCAGTTATGTAAAAGATAAAGAAACTGTTTATAATTTTTTATTAAGAGCAGTTAAGTGTTTTCAGGAAATCTGGTTGTTTTAATGTAGGAGAGCAAACTTTAACCCTGTATAGAATATTTTTGATATTAATTTTTAGAAAAATTCACACATAATTTGCTTTCAAATCCAGTCAATCCTTCTACTGTAAAACCTATTTAACAAACTTACCCACACAAACCATTATCATGACTTACTCAGACATTCAATGACATGCTTTAGACTTTTCATTTTGTCCTATACTTCCCTACTTTTTAAATAGCCAGTTTTTCTACTCTAGGACAAGAATACATTGTACCAGATGCCTTCTCACATTAAAATATTTTCTTTCCCTTAGCCTTTCTATCCACAACTACATCTCCATATCCATAGCTTTCTTCATCTCTTTTTCTACATACTGATTCCTTTCTTACCAACAATATTAAATTAGCCTCAATTACCTAAAAATTTCATAATTAAAGATCATTTTGTTATAGGTTGGGTTCATAAAATAAAATCCTCTAGCAAAGACTAATATAATCCTGCTTCATTAGTAAACCAAGCACAAGCTAACAACAAGGCATGTGCAGGGCTTTGGAAGAAACCCAGCAGTCAGTTCTTTTATAGCTTTTAGTCCTTAAACAAAAGTTAAACAAGTATCAAACATACCACAAAATGTGTTGACCTAAAGGCAAATTTAAACAGAAGGTTTAAAACAAATTTTGAAAATATATCTATATTTATTTTATCAAAAATTTTAGAAAATTATATTCATGTGAACTTGAAAAGTATACTTATTTATTTAATGAGCACACATTAATTATAAGCCAATTTGGTACCATTCAGACAATACCAACACATATGTAGACATGAACACATGAACGCGTAGACATAAGCAGACAGATAAAATAGAACATTCACTAGCATAAAAGGATAGTTAGATTTAAATTGTTTTCTTTAAAAAAAAAATGTCAAAATTTATCTGAGAGGCCTCACCCTGTTTTAGAGAAAATAAGGTAATAAAAAAGCTTGATTTTAGTTTTGTATTTTTGTTTTTTAAATGTGTTACTGAGCTTAAGGCTGAGCTAAAGAGCAAACAGAGATAAAGCCATTGACTTTTGGAGTTTCAAGAAAGAGGCAGAAGACCCAAAAGGAGACCCAGTTGGTGCCAGGGCTGTGTTTCTCATAAAGCCTCAGAGTCCCTGGCCGAAAAGAAAAGCACATGCAGTTAAGAAAAAGAAAATATGCTCAAACAAAACCAACATTGCAAAGAAATATTAACTTCTGTTACTTTAGTTTGTCCAATTTAAAGTTCTTTCAATCACTGGCAAAGATTAAGTTTTATCCTTTTTCGGTGGCACAAACATGTCTGTTTTTTGTCAAGGTCTAGAGTAGGTCTCAGCATGACTTGACATATATTCCAAACTCTTAGCAAAGACAGAAAGACAAAGTTTTATAGCAAGTTTAACAGTTTCTCCTGTTTGGGCAGTAGCACAAATAAGACCAGAGTA